TATGGAGAAAATTTAACACCGCGCCGTTATTAAGTTCCTTACCAAGCAAGGAAAATCCGCTCAGATTATTTTTCAAGAGGTGTTGGTGGTTTACGCGGACTCTGCCTATGGTAAAACCATGGTTTACAAGTGGCATGGTCTTTTCAAACAAGGAAGAGAGTCCATTGAAGATGAACCCCGCTCCGGTCGGCCAATTGAGGCCACCACACCGGAAATCGTCGAAAAAGCAGAAAAAGGACAATGCTCACAAATGTATAAAAATGAAACCCAGGCCCGGCGCAAAAGAAATGTATCTCAGATTTTTAGTATTAATATGTAACAAAATATTAAGTAGGGGGTCTTGTCAAAATAGATTTCTAAATGCCATAAATTGCTAGTTGTTTTTTGTAAGGAGCTAAACTTGAGAGATAAAAAATGGGGGATTGAGACCTAAGTATGACATTTAGTCAGTCAAGTTCATAATATTATTATTACAATATGGTTTACAATTTTATTGGTTTTCTAAGTCTAGGATTACATCTTCCAAAGTGTGTCCAGGATAGGGACACGATATCGAATAGAAAGTATCGATACTGTACTCATGAGTAGTATCGGTAAAAAAGTATCGTACTCGTAAAAGTATCGAAACAAAAGTATCGATACTTTAATGTATCGAGTACATTTCATAGGGCCTTATCGGAGCCTCTATGGCCTCTATGGCCCCTCCCCCCCGGTGTTTAAATTGAAAGAAAAACAATCGAATTTTATTATAGTACGTATAATCAAAAACAAAAAAAGGAATGGAAGGAAGGAAACATGTAAATTCACAAATTGCTATATTATATAATGAAAAGAAATCAGCTGTGATTTCTGACACTAAAAAAGTGTTCCTTAATAAATTATTAAAATTAATTAAATTAAATTCATTATAATTAAAATGTTAATTAAAAAGATCGAAATCTTAAACAATTTAAAAGTATGAAACTTTTCAGATTTGTTTCGAATTAAACTTATTTTTCTTGAATTTTAATCATTAAAAAACATTATACCCCCTTATGTTAACTTGAATCAGACACGAAGTTAACGGCTGGCATTGGCATGCTTCACTCAAGATTATAATTATAGAAGAGGTAACGTCCGTCTTTTTTTCAGGTGGTTTCAAATAGGTATACACAGCACAGACAGAATAATAATGTTACACTTGAATAAATCAAATACAGTCAAGCGCAAAGCACAATAAACGGCGAATCAATCATAGTTCCTAACAATATGGTCGCTAAATAAATAACTATGAAACAAAACAAAGCGCAAAATAAACACATTCACAGATTGGAAAGAATTTCAATATGTCAGTTACTGACTTTATAACAACGCAATAGGGCATTTGACAGTATTAAAAATAAAGTGCCAAAATAACGAAAAAGATATTAGTTTTCTTATCTATTGTCACGTGACCCAAAACGCGGAGCCTAAAATGACGTCACACGCAAGTAAACTTCCGGTCAAAGTGACATTACATTGTATCGTTTGACGTTTTAATAACAGTCGTGTGACGTCACACACTAGTAAGACGCCATATTGTCCAGAGAAACGTTTTCGCGGCAACTTGAAAATGGAGTTTCTGACAGAATGATGAATATCCACACGACAGAATGATGAATATCCACTTTTTACGGACTCCATAAATATTAGCCAATAACGTGAGATCGTTGCCTAAAACGACAAATACCCTATGGCACGTTTTGGAAGGTTTGCTATGATTTAACAAGATGGCGTTGCCATCAATATGAAGCGCTTATCCAAATTTTTAAAGGTATCGATACTTGCCAAAATGTACTCATTTAGTAAAAGTATCGAATACAAAGTATCGAGTACAAAAGTATCGGTATCGAAAGGAAAAGTACTCGATACCACAAAGTATCGATACTTTTTTCGTGTCCCTAGTCCAGGATGATTGAAATCATCTTGGTGTCTGGCCCAACCCAAGTAATACAGCACACTCATAACAAGGGCGCAGCTGCCCAAAGTCCTTTTGCCGTGGATACAGGAACAACAATGCTCTGAGATCGCATTTATACCAACTCCTCTGTACAAAACATACGTATAGTAAGATTTGTTTCGTACATGTCGAGATTGTATACGGCATCTTAGCAAGACACTGTCTTCGCCATTTATTGCAAGCAACACCGGATGTCTGTACACTTCAATTTCATAGACACCTGTTTGTTTTATGTGCTCACTGCAATATGAGCGTGCTATTTTACAGTGGTAAGTGCCCACGGCAAACAATATCAAATCCTCTTGCGACAATCTGGGGAAATCTTCGAACGCCTGGTCATTCGCTGATAAGCGCACAAACGCGGCTCTTTGTCTGTTTAAGTGGTGCTCTAAAACATAGTCCGCCAAAAGATTTGGCTTGTGCGCTTTTCTATTTATAATCTCAATAAATCGCTCAGTGTATTGACTGTCTTCATAGGGCTCTTGGAACGCTTTGATAAGCGCTGCGGCTATCTTACAGTCTGTCATTGTTAAGGGCAATGATCGATTAAATAACCTGTATCTAAATATTTTAAAGTCGCGCTTAAATCTTCCATTGATTGTTTCGACAACCGGAAATTGGAGCTTTTTTGAATGAAAATGTAACTACCATCACATATTATCAACGCTTTCGGCGCTAGGTCGTTTCCAAATTTGTAGTTGGGAAGAATTCGGTTTCTTTGGATTACTTCTTCTTTACTAATGTGATCAAGGCCCAGATGTAAAGGAACAAAATCATTGCGAATACATTGTCTCACCAATTTGACTTTTCGGTCTATACTTTGCCGAAATTTATTGATAATCGTTGCCAGTCGAGTACTGGGTTCGCCCGTTCTTATTTTAGAGAGGTAAATGCCTAGATCTTCTCGTGCAGAACTTGATGTGTAAGACAAGGTCGGTACTTGCGCGAATAGAGTATTGAATTGTTCGTGACGCAAGCCAGTCCAGAAATGCAAATCTTCTTGTGCTATTTCGTCTATATTATCGAAATCCAGTAAACATCTCCGTTCCAGTGCTCGGGTATACATATTCACAATATCTACAAAAGTGTCACTATTAAAGTCTGTTTGATGATGTGACACATTGTTAAGCATGTCTTCCAAGGGTGTGTTTCGTAGATGATTTTCACAAATCTTTGCATGCTGTGGTGTGTATAGACGATAGTAACTGAGTAAAAATATCTTGATTGAATTAGGCATTTGCCGGAGTTGCATGTTACCACAGTTCTCCATCAAACAACGACGGGAAGTGTTGGCCGCTCTTGTGAAACCTGGAACTGTGACTGCAGCGTCAGCGTGACGGATAGCAGGCGCTGGCGGTTCAGGACGTAAGGTTTGTTCAATTCTATGCCAACAAGGATGGCATATTGATATCGTTCCGTCGAAAGCTAGTAACTGTAACAAATCTTTATATATATAATTCTTCTGTGAGTGTGTATGTCACTGAACTTCTCTTAAACGACTGGACCGATTTTGATGAAATTTTTTGTGTGTGTTCAAGGGGATCTGAGAATGGTTTAGATTCACAATTTTGTCCGCTGAACAACCCCTATTTTTTTAGGGCGGTACGAAGTTCGCTGGGTCAGCTAGTAATTATATGTTATTGTGATAAGGAACGTGACGATATACACACGTGTCCACTACGTGTCCGATTAAAGGAAAGGCTATCATCGCGCGCCTAGTACCTTCCCCACATATCTACACGTCTACGATATATAAGATGTATGTAAGGTTAGTTGAAGGATAGAGAAATATAGAGATCGTCGTAACAGACAGTATTGTGGTTTGTCTTCTACCTTCCCGCCGGGCTGGCCTATTATGACCTACTTGAAAGTACGTAGGTACACAGATAAAAAATAAATAAACAATGATGTTGTCTTACCTCTCGTAGCGGTTGCAAGTACTGGAAAATCCGCTCAGCCAAGTCTCTCCGGGAATCGAAAAAACGTTGAGTCAGAACGTGTCTACGAACATCTCGGTACAGTGAACGATCACACACAACACACCTATTCATTTTAAAAAATATCGTGAAGATTATTCTAGTCCAAAGTAATGCCAAAGTCGGTAACAGAAGTCGGTTATAGTTAAAACAAAGAAAGAGCACAGATCTCAACGAAGGACTGCGCAGACGCAGGTGAGCGAGACTACACAATGGCTGACTCATTCGGTGGCTACCTGATAAGGTTCGAGAATACAGCGAACCTATGAGTGCAAGTGAAATAGCAGTTGAATGTTGGTTCGTTTTTGATGTGACGGAAAGGCTTTGTGTACAACCGGTTTGATTTCTATGAACATCATTCAAAATCATCATTTACTTTTGTTTTTAGTTTTTTTCTTCTTTTAGTTTTAGTATTTAGTTGATTTCTTCAACTAGTTGACGTGATAACGGCATAACGGCAGGCGTTGAGGTGTTCATATCAACTACGCGGTGACTGGTCTACGGGCGCGACGCAACGACTACGACGGTGTCTTTATTTAGTTTTACGCACTATTTGACAATTAAATAATGGTTCTAAAACAGTACAATCAAGCAATTTAATCTTCCCTTCATACTTTTCCAGGCTTAGGACTGGCTGAAAACGTTTTGAAAAGACTATCGTATTTCAGGCGTATTTAGAAGATCAACTGATTTTATGTACATTTTTAATTATTTTCATCTTATATTTATTTTTTTTATATTATTCTTTACATAGGTTTTTTTTTAGCTTTTTTTAAAATGTTTTTTATTTGTTGTTTTTGTTTATAAGCTTTTCTATGTTTTTCACATTTGTATGTACAGAAGAATCATAAAAATTTTTCATGTGTAAATTTAAAACCCTTTAAATCTGTCTCCAGGTGTATTTACGTTCAGGAACATAATTTGCTCAATTTTGCTTGTCGTTAGTCTTGTTCGCCTTTCATTAATTATAAGACCGGTTTTTGAAAACATCCGTTCGCAAGGAACGGATGTTGCTACAACGTTACAATGGGTAACAATTTTTTTTTTTAATTTTGGTAAACGTACTGGTGTTTTCTCCACCATTCAAGAGGGCACGTCAAATTTCCCTTCTGGTTCCTTCTCGGAAGGATTTCGTCCGAAAGGTACATGTCTACCTCTTTGATTGCCTTTGATTGAGGTGTACCTTGCGTGGTACTCGATGCTACCATTTTGTCAAAAATGTCCCAAGGGCTGATGTCACGGTTGTTGTCGGGGCCATCGGGATTATCATTTTCACTGACTGCAGAATCGATAGGTACCGTAGCGTGTTCTTTTTCAGCAATCAATGCGGCCACTAATTTTCTAACTTTTTCCTTGGTTCTGGTTGCCTCGGATTGGTCCGAAAATCCCTGCATTTTGAAACGAGGGTCCATAAAAGTACATAAAGCAAATGTGCCGCTCGTTTCGATTAGTCTAAATCGTTCTTCCAGCCCCGATTTCAACAAGAGCACCGTATCGAGCACGTCTGGTAGTAGATCATCCCCTCGATTTATGAGCCTTTGACAAGCTTCTTTTAGGCATCGCGTCACTACTATTACCGAGCTTCCGGTAATATATTTTTCTCCACTCATTGACGCCGTTATCTCCTCGAATGGTTGCAAAACCTGGCATAGTCGCTTGAAAAGAGTCCAATCTTCGGCGCTGATTGTTGGTATATTCCTGTCTGCAAAGGCTAAAGTTGCTCGGATGGCATCTTCAAGCTCCACAAATCTTTTAAGCATAAAACAGGTAGAATTCCATCTAGTGTCCACAGCTTGGATCAGCCTCTTAGGTTCTTGACTTTGTTGAATTTGATATTTTTGTTATCTCTCTGAGGAAAGAGTACTTTTTTTAACATGCGCAACAATGCGTTTAACTTTGTCAATACTAGATTTTATTAATTCCATCGCATTTACCACTATAAGATTTTGACTGTGCGCATAGCATCCGAAATGCTTCCATCCTAACAAATTTATCTACTAATGCAGTTATCTCTGCAGCGATATTGTCGGCTGTATGGTGGCCTGGAAATTGACAGCATCCCAATAATACAGTTTTGAACTCTACATCTTCTGTTAAATAGTGACCAGTAAGGGCAATGAAGCTTTCAGTTTTCAAAGATGTCCACATATTTGCAGTTAGGCATATGCTCTGAACCTCCAGTCTGAGTTGAGTTTGTGTTGCGTCATATAGCTTAACATATGCTTCTTGCATTATTGAGTTAGACAATGTCTTCCTTGTCGGTAGCTGGTAGCCAGGTATCCAACGGCAGAATTTTTTAAACGCCCTCTCTTCCACCAACGAAAATGGATGGAAACTATCTATGCACAAATCCAGTAAATCTAAATTAATTTGCTTTTTTTGCTCATTATTTATTTTTTTATGTAGAAATGAATCCAAATTTTTTTGTTTTTTTGGGATAGACCGGCTCGGGCCAGGTAAGCTAGGATCTTCATTAATATCATTAAATACGATGGGACGTGTCTGCTGCTGAGCTTGAGCATTTGATTGCGATGACAACGATGTATATATAGATAAATGCTTTCTTTTAAGGTGGCTTTTTAAATTTGCAGTGGTAGATTTATAAGTAACTTTTTCTTTGCATACGTTACAAATCGCTTTCCCACTTGAATCGTCTTTTTCAAAGTGATGCCATAGTTCACTTGTATTACTACGTCCCATCATTATGAAAAACAATAAAGTTTATTGTTGAATAAGCCTACTCTAAAATTCCCTGAACTGTTCTTCAATACACTATTAAATTATTATAAATATTAAACACTATGTCTCTATCTACACTATTTACAGTTCACTTTACTTTTGAACTTTGCACAAAATGCGCATTCACGTGTCGCGCGATTCACGCGCAACTCCCTTAACCTTGACCTCGCGACACACTAATTTCAAATTTCAATAAACAAAACTGCAACTACTTTAGCTAAACAATTATTAGCATGTGGTGAAGTTAAAACACGTATACTTTATACGTGATGATAATCATCCCCCGAAAGCGATTAGAAGTCTCCTCGCCTAGCACGTATGTTCGTGTATTGATTTAGTATATAAGATAACATCTTCTATGGAATTACATGCAGTACACCCAACGTTGTTGTGTTATTCACCACAAGCCCTCACAACATCTCATGGCGACCGTGACAGGACACGAACCTGCAATCTTCGGTTATCGCAACAGATTGTGGAACGGAATTTATTAATTCCACCTTGAAGAATGTATGTGAATTGTTAAAAATCCAGAAATTAAATTCAACACCATATCATCATGAGAGTATAGGATCTTTAGAAAATTGGCATAAACATCTAGGTTGTTATTTAAGGATACAAACTAAAAATCAATTATCTAATTGGAGTACATGGTTACCCTATTGGTGTTTTGCATATAATACTTCTGATCATACAAGTACAAAATATTCCCCCTATGAACTAGTTTTTGGGAAAATGTGTAATGTACCCAGCAACTTAGTAGATAAGGTTAAACCATTGTATGTATATGACGACTATCCTTTAGAGTTAAAATTTAGATTACAAAAAGCACATTCTGATGCTAGAAATAATTTGTTAAATACGAAAATAAGTAGAAAATTAAAATATGATTTAACTTGTAGTAGTAATAATTATGTAAAAGGTGATTTAGTATGGCTTAAAAATGAAAACTATAATAAATTGAATGATCTGTATTTAGGACCGTATCTTGTCATAGAGGAAATAGGTCCAAATGTTAAAATATTAAGAAATGATAAAGAATATACTGTACATAAGAATAGGATTAAGAAATGTATAGATTAAGAGCCATTCCTTTTCAGGGGAGGGACGCCTAACGTTTTCAGGGGAGGTGTGGTGAAGTTAAAACACGTATACTTTATACGTGATGATAATCATCCCCCGAAAGCGATTAGAAGTCTCCTCGCCTAGCACGTATGTTCGTGTATTGATTTAGTATATAAGATAACATCTTCTATGGAATTACATGCAGTACACCCAACGTTGTTGTGTTATTCACCACAAGCCCTCACAACATCTCAAGCAGGCCATCCACTATCGTTCATTCCAGTCGGAGTTTATAATACGTACAGATTGAATCATGTAAATCGACTACTGCGCAATCCGTACGGATTATAGATTCCGGTAGGAATGAATATAAGTGGATGGCCCGCTATTATAAACCCGTTCATCCTGCACTGCATCTGTACAAATCTACGCTGTACACTGTATCATTGTTTCTTTAAAATGTTTCAGTATACAGAATAATCTAATAGCTCGTTGTCCTTGTTAGCATGTGTAGTTTCTTTTAAAGTATAAAAACGACTTGGTAGTCTGTGTGCAAAGATATGTATAAAGAAACGTACACTATGTCAAGGTTTTAAAATTAGGGAATGTAATACGAGTATTAAGTCATTCATGGAATAATTTAAACGGGCGTGTATTGCTTAATTTGTTATGTTAATAGTAGTCTAGTTTTTTATATGTTAGGTACAATTCGGTCCGAGGACCGCGGTTCTTTGTTCCGCCGACTGTGGTCTGCGTTCGGGGACCGCGGTTTTTGGTCCGCCGAAAAAAAAAACAAAGGGGCGGTGACCTGCTCCATTCATTAATTATTCACTGTTGATTATTTGATTTTGATTTATATAATTGCTGTTGATTTATATAATACTAGCGGCCGCCCGCGACTTCGTCCGCGTGGAATTTTGATTGTCCTAAGCTTTCTCTTCTCTTTTGTTGGTTAAAAATTGCTTTATGATATTCTGAATTTAGAACTTTTGGGAAACTATCTAAATTGGCAGGGCTTGAAGTATATTGAGTTTTATATTGAGTAAGTATACTTTTGCAACTTTTTTCACCTTTTTCATGGCTGGAAGAGCTCTTCATAGAGATAAAACTTACATCTAAAAACCGTTATTAGTTTTCCACTTGTTTATGATATATGCATAAAGTAAAAATGTTTTTTTTTAGTTTTTTTAATTACTTGTTTGAATTTAGCAAATTAAAAAAAAAGTTAAATAATGGAGATACTTTAAAGAATTTCTTTATAAACGACATTAACCGTTTTACCGCCTTGTGCTAGAATAAAAAGGTTGTCTGGGCTGCTTACTCGTGAGCAAGCCACATACAGTTGACCATGGGAAAAACAATCAGATCTTAAGTCGACACCAGCAGTCCTGAGAGTCTGACCTTGGGATTTGTTTATAGTCATGGCGAAGCAAACGGCTACTGGAAACTGTGTGCGCTTAAATTCAAATGGAAAGTTATTAGGGATGAGTGGGATTCGTGGAATAAATACAGTTTCCCCTGAGCCACATCCAGTAAGAATCTGAGCTTGGATTAAATTTCTTTGTAGAGCAGTTACTTTTAGTCGTGTACCATTGCATAATTTTGGAGGAGTAAGGTTACGCAGCAGCATTATTGGTACACCTATTTTAAGCACAATTATGTGCGCAGGAAGACCACTTGCAGAAAGCGAACTCAGAAACTCAACAGGATAATGTGTAGCATCGTCGTGGTTGAGAACGCTATTATAAGACGTATAAACGACGTCATCCCCAATCACTTCAGATAAAATTTTTTGATTTATTGCAGCAGCTTGGTCATTTCTGGGAGTGAGTATCGCACGTTCACATAACCAAGAATTTTCCTGATATGTTATATGTGATAGGTCACCGAATACAGAATTTATAAGTTCATCTTCTGAAGAAACTATTCGGCAAACTGTTTCTGGAAGCGTCACCTTACCATGTTCTTTAGAAAGAGTACCTTCTCCAAGTTTCAAAAGAATGTCTGAGAATTCGTGGGCATGTAAATTACCACCTAGTTGTGCTCGCATATTGATCGTCAATTGCAGCTTTTTCATTAGAGGCCAGAGGTGGGAACGCTTTAATGAAGCTCTAATTTCATCGGCTCTAGTTCCTCGACTTATAACTGGAAGTGTTTGCCTAAAATCACCAGAAAAAAGCAGTGTGACGTTGCCCATTGGCCTTTCATCTCGCCGAATATCACGTAGGGTTCTGTCCACAGCTTCGACGGCTTTTTTATTTGCCATTGTACACTCATCCCAAACGATCAGACAGCAATCTTGTAACACTTTCGCCTTATCACAGTTCCTTGTGATAGAGCATGTTGGTGACTCATTACTGTCTAAATCGATTGGGATTTTAAACATCGTGTGGGCCGTCTTTCCGCCAGGAAGTAATGTGGCTGCGATTCCCGAGGAAGCCACTGCTAGTGCAATCTTACCTTGCCGCCTAATCTTAGCCAGTATTGCTGTTATCAAAAAAGTCTTTCCCGTTCCACCTGGAGCGTCCAAGAAAAATAAATTCCCTTCATTATTATTTACGCTTTGGATGACTACATCGAATATATTTCTTTGTTCTACAGTAAAACAACCAATCTGATCATTTACAGTGGTGGTTAACGCAGCAATATTGTAGTTCGTCTCGGAATTATATTCACGATTTACCCGTGGTTGATTGGGTAGAGTTTGAGGATTAGGCAGGCCGTAGTCGGTCAAGGAATTACCCCCAATCGAAAATACTATGTCTTGTATACATAAAAGTGAACTATTTATAACTCTATCGTCAGTTGGATCTATTTGCTGGTCTGAATTGCGTTGAAGCAAGCGTAGAAAGTCCTCGGATAATTGTGTCTTATATTTTTGCCACAGCGTTAGAGCATCCGATAGACCACAGAACACTAACATCACTGCAAACAAATGACGTAAACGTTTGGGACT